GAATAGTGGGGTTGTAGTGTGCAACGCAATGGAGAATGCATTAATACAAGCAGAACCCCAGCGAGTAAACACACAATTAGTCAAAAAGGACACCTATTGTAATTAAAGGGTATTGGAGGCTTGGGTATAATCAGCCTGTGTAAATTGCAGGGTGGAAACGCCATCCATCTACGTCCACAGGAAAGTGGAAACAAAGGGGACAGCCGAGGCGATGCGTATTATCCAGCTCTGGGATTCAATCATGCTTGACTGAAACAGTATGAATACACCTTGGGAAGGTGGATCTATAACAGAAATGAAGAAGCTCTCACTTGCTGTTGTAGCTTATTGTGTATTGGCATAATTATGGATATTATGTGTTGTGTTGTGTTGGTTTAACTCCGGTGATGGATCATGCATAATCATAAGGTGGGTGGAAAGCAGCGGTAATGATAAGTTACTCTAAAATGAAAATGACATGCATATCGATCACTGCAAAAACATACGTGTAGTTTCAGTCCATTTTGTTGATTTACTGTACCTTTGTAATGACAGGAAAGGCTTATTTATTACAGAGCGTGACTGGGATTTAGACATGGTAATAAAGCATAAGGGTTGTACAAATGGGAAAATAAATCAAGCATCAAACAATTTCATGTCTAATGCTTTGAAGTGACAGGCGTCAATCAATATTGGACTTTCAGGGTTGTTTCTAAACTGTATATTCGAACTGATGTCAAAATAGGTGCACGGATTGAATTAACAAGCATCATTCAAACACATGTAATCAATAAATATTTACTTATGACTGCCATTTCCTTTTATTTTCCACACTAGCCCTGAGCTATGAGCACACTCTGGTGTAATCAAATCTGATATTTACTCTCCTCTATGTTCCCACCTTAACCTCTTAATCTGAAGATTTCTTGTGCTCAGTGAGGACTCCAATATTCCACGGCAAACATGGCCCCAAATGATGGAGGGCTTTCAGACTGGAGCCATTCATTCCCCATAGTCAAAAATCATTAATGCTACAGATAATTGCATTGAAGAGCTGAGCTCGCAGCAGCTGCTGCCATCTATTGAAGGGCAGCTTAGCCAAACATAATTAAAAGAGTTGAGATCGAGTGCATTATGCCCAATTAAAAGCCAATTGCACTTAATAACAACGTTATCTGGCCCTATTGACCAGCAGGGTTTTGCTCTAATTTCATCCTCGGTGAGTCCTTGGATAATTGACTTTGAGATATTCTGAAGTGTGCCGTTTCTTTATTCCTTGCCACCAAAGCAAGTTTCCAAAACTTCGGTTCACTGGGTTAAATGAGCGAACGCTTGACCCCTTCGCTCTTCCTTTGACTCTGTGGAGTTCTGAGTAAGGGAGGGCTGAATAGAGCAGTGCAACAGTAACATGAACACTCTTGATCTTACAAACTCTCAGTTATGTATGGCGCAAACTTCTTCACTTTTAAGTTTACTTGTTATGGTAAAATGTAATTAGGGCTCTTGTGCCTCAGCCACACACAGCGTTGGCTTCATCTACAGCTACAACACTAACAAGATCAAGTTTTTTTTAAAACAGAATTTAATGCACAACAACCAATAATGAAGGATTACTATATCCTTGATTACTATACTATTTCATATTTGTATGATATTTTATGGTGACATGCTGATGCTGATATTTTTACCTGCTATTTTGCTACAAGGGCTTATAACCGTGGTGCTATTTGTGAGACTTGCTGTTGGTAATTTAATAAATAAGAAGTGCATGCTCGGAGACGAATGCCTTCAAAATGATCAGGTTTGTTATGTTTTTCTCGCGATGTTTAGTTATAACTAGCTTGATGGTTCCCTTAAAGTTTTCCACTAAAAAAATAAGGTAACCTTAATGCTAACTTTCTGAATAAACCAAATTAGCCTAAACTAAACTATCCACATGTGCAATATCCAAATAAATTGAGCTAACATTAATCACTTCTGATCATATCAAACCAAATAATGGTGCAATTTGTTGGTTGTGCTTTAAATTTAAATAGAAGTAGACATAGGTAAACGTGCATGGAGGTGGAACCAAAAACTGAAGGTTACTTATTGACAAAAGCCCTAAAATATTACTGTCATGTATAAGTATATTTAATATGCCAGTCCAGTTTTATAAAGCAATTTTCAGACACACCAGTAATTTGTAAGGTCACTTGTTATATATCCAAAACAAGAAGTGTGTCAATTCAAACTCATTTTACATTGTGAGCCAAATTTTGCCTACTTTCATCTTAAGCGGGCCAGACCAGTGACACTACATAATAAAAGTTCTGGTAGTTCATTGCCCACTGTGTCCCATAATTATAAAATATAAAGTTTACAGTCAGTAAGTGAAAATTGTCTTTTTTTCTCTATGAACCCACTGCAAAAAACATCCATATTGTCCAATTAGCTGGACCGGTGTCTTTGCTGGGCTGCATCTGTCCCCGGGCCTTATGTTTAACCCGGTCTAAGTCCTGGTTTGTACAACACCCCTGACATTCTCAATGAAAGCAAGTTGCTGTCTTTTTTTTCTGAATTTTCTAAGGACTGAATATTTTATCTTTACTGTAATATGCCCATTAAAAAAAACATCTGCAAAAGATAAATGGATTTACCGTACATTGATTTAAATACTTGGTCAAATACCACAGCAGCTGGTCTCTTACTTAGACCTGAGAGTACTAGAGGGGAGTGGTTTACTGCATGATAATAATGTAGCCTGAGTGGAAAAACCAATGGCAGTCTCTCCTCCACCACTAATGTTGCGGCAAAATGCCAAATGCATAAATGTTCACAATGGTGATGGATTTTTTAGCACAGTCTATGCTAAGAAAAGTCCTTGAAGGGGAAAAAGCATTATTTGCCCAGGAGCAATTCAAAGTGCTATTAGGAGTCAAGGCTGCATTAATAAATTATGCTTTGTTTTGATGTAATGTAAATGATGTAAGGAGAGATGAAATGTTGTCGGTTTTAGGGGTGTGGAAGAAGTCATTCTGCTCTCGATGGCTTTGACAAGGGAAAGAAATGAACATACCTATGAGGCACTGTTCAACGTGACCTGGTTGTCATGCGTTTAGAGAACGAGAGTTAGACAGTCAAAATATAGATATAAAAGTTTCAGATCTCCTCAGATTTTGGGAATACCTGCAGTCCAATGGGTCCGGGTAAACCTGGGAATCCTCTTGGTCCTTCATCTCCTTTCTGGCCAAACATACCCTGCTGTCCTCTCGGTCCAGCTTCACCATCACTGCCCTGTTAGAGGTTAAAGTGCAAGACATGCAAACACCTTTACTCTCACTCCCACTGACCAAGTGCAATTCTACAATCACTAACTGGGATTTTTTTCTCATTCTTCTAATCAATTTCATGGTTACAGAGTATATCCAAGCTCAGACGGGAGATGGTGGGTCGATGCGCACATTCAATCACAGATTAGGATGGACAGTTACAGTACTTGAATGGTTTTCTGAAGGACATTTTACTGCAGTTTTTTCAATCCATCAATGCTTAGAACCAACATATTGTTCCCCAGGGTTCTTGGAGTGATTAGAATGCACCCATGACAGGTCAACGGTCTATCTCACTTCACTCACAGGCTATTTAAAATGCACAGTCAACCAACATGTAGAAGTTTGATTGTTTGGTTTTTCAGAGGACTGTGTGAGGAGGAAAATTAAACTTGCGACAGGAATGGACCAGAGAGGGACAACAGTTCTAAACACTGATACATTGTGCTGCTGGTCTAACAGGGGAGCAGCCATCCTAACAAAGCTTCTCATCAGGGAATGCAGGATGGAGTACAGTATAGCCAAAGGGTTATGGTAAACAGCGTATGTGAAAGATGCTGACTTCATCTGTGAAGCCAGAGGTGCACAGAGCTACCGAGGATGGAAATAAGAGACTGTGGGGAAAGAGTGAAGTGCTGACAGACTGGGAGTTTTCAGTTCAAACGCATGTCAGCACTTGAAAGTGCTTGAGGAGCTCTTACTGAGCCCTGGGACATGTAGGACGCTTCAGGCTATGGTACTGAATGCAGAACAGTTTAGAAGGAAATGTTAGGTGATTACAAGGAGGTGGACTAAAGTTAAAGCGACTTCAAGAAAAAAAAAAAGTCACAAATCTAACTGTCTGAACATCTCCTCGGGGAGACTAGAAAAAAATTGTGTCTCTATGTCGAGTGCTTGACCTCAACTGCTGCATAATTTCTTATTCATTGTAACACTGCATGCACAGCCTGCAACCCCCGTATATGTGTTGGCACCATCCTTGCCCTTGAAACAGAGCAATAGAGGCTTTTGCTGGAAGAAACTATCCGGTCCTGCCAAAACAGATAGAAAACGCAATAACAGCTCACCATCTAAGTATGAAGCTTACTTCTTGTGTCACGTGAAAACAGTCCAACACTGGTGAATTTCTTATGTCAATTCATCATGAGCAATGAAACAAATGGCAATTTTTGGGTACAATTGTACTTAATACAAGTATAAAAACAAGTATAAACCTTTACTGAATACTATATTATGTTGAAACTCGGCACTTTTCCTTCCAGTTAAACAGAAAAACTGGGCTATAAAAAAAAAGTTCAGTAGATATAAGTTCTGCAGAGACACATTAAGTACTGTCCATCTTTTACCTTGGATTGACCTTCATCTAGTCTTAATGAATTAGTATATAAATAAAGTTTTATTTGAAGTGTAATTTATGAAAAGAAATGCAAAAGCTAACTATGAACTGTAACAGTATGTTTAGCATAACTTACATACTGCTCTCTGCTCTCTGAATTAAAGATCTCAGTCAGAAACAACTTGAAATTTTCAGTTCACACTGAAGTCCTAATTAGAAAAATGCTTTGGTAGGACTTTAATCAGCACAAGTCGGTGCATAATTACGTGCTCTAAAACTGCTAGCTGAGAGCATTTATATTTTTAAGACTCCATACTAATTTTTGCATAGATCTGTTTAAATGTAAAACGTGTAGCTGGTGCAATTGAATGAGATATGATTCAGCATAGTTAATTGTGGTTGTGCTTAGATCTGCAGGCACCAAACCCATGCTCGGGGAGGTATAATTTATGACATACGTGAAATGGATCTCGCAAAATTTATGTTTAGATTGTTCATGAAATAAATCTAAGTGGCTCCTGTGGGGTTTTTGTTTTTCTTACATTATGTTAGAAATAAGCTTTTTCATATCTTAAAAATGTGTTGTCCTCTCAAAAGTGACATTTCCAAGATTGCTCTTGTCAACTTCATTTTTTTGTCTTTTTATAAGCCGCTGCTAAACAAGAGCACATTTGTAGGACAGGATGTTCACCACATCCTGATGAAGATCAATACTGCTTTGCCATAGACTGTTTCATTACGAATGCTTGACCTCAGTTGCATCTTGAAGACAGCAGCACCGGTGACTGAGCTGCTGTAAATCTTGTTAAGCCTTAGCAGAGAAGGAAATTGGATCGTTCATTTTGCTGGCATACACAAGCATTTTTCCAGGATTGAGAAGTGGGGTACATAGTGTAGCCACAAGTGATAACAGTATTCAGACATGCAATAATAAAAACAGAGCAGATGATGCTAAAACTACACAGCACGAGTCAGGACTCAGTTATGAAGATATGAATACACATGAGCAGACTGACTCACCAGGACAAACAACTGTTAAATAATTTGTTATGCAGCTCGGGAGCACTACCTGCTCACGGCAATCCGTCTCACCAGGACTATTCTAGCCCCCACAGAGCCCTGCAGATGCTGGATTTGTGCTAGAATGGTTGTTAAGGCCTGATAATTTACAGCAATGAGCTGTTAGTTGCCCTCGGGCCATCAGCTATTGTAGAAACAGGACTTTCCCTGTTGTGTTAATGAGATGGAAGAGTAGAGGATGTTCTGCACCATACAAGGCAGTATTCTCAGCTAGTTCTGGTGCCATAGAACCTAATGTAAGGAAATGTCTGGCGCACTGACTGGCACATTATTGCTGCATGTAAGCCTGTTTTGTAAGCTCAAGGTCACAAGCGTAATGCTTTGCATGAGTTTACAGGATAACAAATACCAAATTTGTAATTGCATTTTAATTGATGGGGGATAAAAGCTGTCTTTTATGAAAAAGTCTTTTTGGTAGCCCGATACTAATACAGGACCACAACTAAAAGTTGTAATTAAAAGGAAATTTGTGCAGCATTACAATGATAAAAGGATGGGGAATTTTAAAATGAACAGGGACTGCAGCCAAAGGTTTTTGGACTGCAGAGGCAAGAGTAAAAAAGCAATAGTGCTTGCATAGCATGGCCCTGACCTGCCTGAACAGTTGTTAATTTCTGTCCATCTGGGAAATGAAATATTGTTTATTAAACCAAGGGTCTCCAAGCAAGCACAATTATGACTCAAGTGTCCAGTTTTTAAATATATCTAAATACTTGAACAACCCATTTAACTGATTATCATACAATCAGCAAGAAATGGTTAAGCAAAAACCTGCATAGAGTAACTTTTGCTCATATCAGAGTGTGGCTGATGATGAATCAATAAAAAGGTGTCGTCCTTCAAAACGAGACACGATTCAATGGCACGTCATTATTGGACTGCAGGTCTGGAGATAACAAGCCGGCAGCCTTTTGGTCTTATTACACCCTCCCTGTCTTCATGGGGGCTTGTTTGGAGAAAAAAATGTTTTTAAAATCTGATTTCCCATTTCACTGTTCTTACCCAGAAGCCAGTATGGTAATGAAGACATGACATTAAGAAGGCAGCACTTACTTTTGTAGGCATCACAAATGATGGAAAGAAAGTCTTTAAAAATTCAGGAAAGGTGAAATAAAGGTTGGAAAGTTTTGTGAAAACAGAAAGCAATATTTGGAGTGGATTTTAGTACGGTATAAACGGGTATTTATGTAACTTTTAATGTTTTAGGATTACATTCTTATCAGTGTATGAAAATACTTCAGAGAATAAACTTTGACATTAGATGGTTAGAGGATGAGATACTCACAGCTGGACCAGGAGCTCCAACTACACCCTGGAGACCAGTTGGGCCTGGTGGACCCTACAAACAGGAGGAAGCTGATTATTAAGATGTACATGATAGACACGCCATCTGAATTGAGCAATGAAATATAGGGCAGTTGCATGCTAAACCTGATCTCCATCACACACTGTCTACCTGGAATAATGACATTTGTACCGGCAAGAAAAATCGAATTCAATCTGGAATGTATTTGACGTGATGCGTGTGAGGACAAACAAAAGTCAACTGAAAAAATACAAGAATATAAAATATAAGCGTTTAAGATGAGGACAGAACACGCTGCAATTCTTATTACAAACTAAGTAACCATTTTGTAAACATAGCAGCACTTCAGCTAGTATTTTATATGCTGCAGACTTTTAAGGGGAAAATAAGAAACATTTTCTAGCAATCTATTCCTTTTGTTCTACTCAATTCAGTGGTGAAATCAGCATCTTTGGTTATTTAACATGAATTGTAATAAAACTCACTGATTTGAATGAATCTGTGACATAAAACTTCATTAAAAGAGAGCGAGAGGGGAAAGAAAAAGACTCACAAGTTCACCCTTGTCTCCTTTACTTCCCTTCTGTCCAGGTCCACCAACTTCTCCCTGCAGTGTAACAAGCACATACAGACAAAGCAGAGCTCAAATCTCTCTCCTCCATGTTTAGTCAAAGTCTAATATCTTAAAGTGTCACCTTTACCATGATTAGGCAGTAAATATTTCTCAAGAGAATCTAATTTGATTGGCCCACAAAGACCTTGGGTGAGTGTTTGTAATTAATTGATTGGCTCCCTGTCTAACCCCATTGGCTCTATGATTGACAAAATGCTGTGGCGGAAGACGTGACTGGGATTGAAGAGGGTGTCATGGTTACAAATGTAAAAATGCAAATTTCTGGTTCAGTGTATCAAGTGTGGATGTGGGATTTGCTGGCCTCAGGGTACACAGGATGTGTAAACAACTGGCTATTTCAGTACATGGATTTGTTTGTCTGTTTGCATTTAAGAAGATTTCTAAAGCCGTTAGTGTGTGCTTATTTTGTTTACTTAATGTATGATTCTATCGGGAGTAATTGCTGTCATAACAAGCTTGCGGTTAAGTATAGTTAAAAAAAATAAAAAAAATAAAAAAATAAAAAAATAAATATAGTCCTGTGAAAAGATTTAATAGCTTGTAGTAGCACCTTTAGCAGGAATAACTTCAAATATTCATTTTCTGTATGACTTTATCAGTCTCTCACATTGTTTTGGAGGAACTGTGTCTCTGTTTTCTTTACAAACTTGCTTCAGTTCACTGATTTTTGTGAGCATTCATTTATGCACAGTTTTCTTAAGGTTACATTTCAGGCTGAGGTCTGGACTTTGACTGTGCCACTGTAACAATTTGATTTTTTCCCTTTTTCAGCCATTCTGTGGAGATTTTCTGCTGTGCTTGGCATCATTATCCTGCTGCATGACTCACTTTTGGCCAAGTTTTAGCTGTCGGACAGATGGCCTCACATTGACATAAGAATACTTTAGAATAAAGAGGAGTTCATAGTTGAAGCTGACAGATCTCTTTGAGGTTATAAAATAATGTTGTTGTTTTTTTAATTTTTCTGTTTTTATCTTTAACCAAGAACTTAAAAGCTTTTGTTTTTAACAAACAAAAAAAATGTTATTGTAAAATATTATAACTCCCAACTCTAGGTTTTAAGGTATTAAAACTTTGCTCCACCTTGTCACCATCTTCACCAGGGGGACCCTGTGGACCAGCTGGACCAGGAAGACCAATAGGACCTTGAATGCCATCACGGCCAGCAGGACCCATGGGACCTTTCTCTCCCTAAAATATAATTTGCACAATATTGTAAAATCTTGACATATTGAACTTAAATAGGTATTTCACCAAGTAAAAGTTAGAAAAAAAACTCACAGGACCCCCTTTTTCTCCAGCAGGGCCAGGTGGTCCTTGAGGACCATTGCGTCCTGTGGGACCAATGGGACCTCCGGAGCCAGCAGGACCTCTCTCTCCAGGAGAACCCTGTAAACAAACACTCATCAGTCACTGCTGTCTTACTCAAAAACGCAATTTGCTACTGTAAAGCTAAGAAACAGTTAAGCAAAAAGCAAGTGTGTTTTGTCCAGACTTAAGCTTAAAAAGGGAAAGTCTGCCTAGAAAGAAAATTCTGGTATTTTAAACTTCAAGGCACATTTTCATGTCTAAAGTATCAAAGAGAGCAATACTTGAAATCTGTCTCCTATTAAGCAAAAAACACAAGACTTTTGACTGGATTGGCTCCATATAAGACATGTTTAGACTGTTCTCTAAAAGCAGAATGTACGGGACTCCTTCAGAGTCAGGCATCAGAAATATTGTAAGAGGCTAATTGCTACAGGAAGACAATGGTGTAAACCCAAGTGATAGTTTGAGAGAGCTGTCTAAATAAGACAGTTCTGTTATAGAGGGAGAGCAAAAAGAAATCTTATGTGTGTTATGTGAGATAGATAGATACTAAAAATGTTATAAAAATCACAGTTCATGTTTGTGCGTGGTTGGCAATATACTGATTCCCAATATATTTTAAGGTTTTCACTTGTGTCTACTTGTGGATGGACAAATGGATGGAAACATTCCTATCTGACAACCCAGGGACTAGTAGACCACTATGACCATTTTGACTGAAATGATTACTACCTGTCAAACAGGGGAAAAAAAGTAAAATAAAAAAACTCCAAAAAAAACACATTTGGTTCTAAGAATAAAGAGACCCTTTGTAGACAGAGTAGAGATAATATAATTAGCTAAAGCTATTTTGTTGACCTGGCATCAGTATATGCGACATGCATGACATGCATGACGTGCATGACAGGATAATGTCAAAAAGCAATCTCAGACACTTAGAATAACAATCTCAGCCTGCTGGACTCCTCTGTCAGATTACGTTACAGCCATTTCACAGTTGCCGATTATATTATTGTCGCTTTCTGTCCCTATTACAAGACCCACAAATAACAAAAAAGAGTCAAGACATTTAAACGCCATGTTTTTTTAACTGGATTAGCTCTAGCCTGTCAGTTTACTTTAAAGAAATTTTGAAGGAATAGGATTCCAGAAGAATATTGTCACGATAATGTGAAGTAGATTTGAATGAAAAACATCACAAACATAAAAGCCTATTATCTGTGCACATACAACAACTAAGTTTTCCCTCAAGACGATGGTAGCATTTTGCAGTCTGGTGCAAATATTTAAGTTTTTATTTCATTGTTAGAAGTCCTAACCACAGTAACTAACCGCAGCATTACTATAAGCTGTGACCTGCTAGAAATATAGCCATTAACTGATAACCATTCTAAAATTACACTGACCCTGCTGACAGCCTCAAAGCTTACCTATGAAGGGAGCCACTGATGAACATGCTTATCTATTTAATAGGCCAGAGCTGCTTTCCACAGCCAAGGCCTTTTGGAAGGTCTCACCATTTTTTCCCCACATCAGCATGCCTTATTACCCTGCTCTTCACTATTCCCAGGTGGATGCTCATCACTGTGTAGGTACCCCAAATCACATGAAGTGCAACTACATTGTTGATCACGAGGTATTTTTGGCATTCCCTTACCCAGGGAAGGTCTGGGTAGAGCCGCTTTCAAATAAAATGAAATGTGCATGTGTACAGGCCAAAGCTTCGGACTGATTCACACGAAAAACACACACTCTGATTCAGCTGCTGATGTGAGATGCCACCTGGCACTCATATGCCTGGCCCGTTTCATGACAGACATTGCTGGTGACACACACCAAGCTCCAAACTGTCATCCACAGCCTGCCAACTTGGCCACCATGACACACATGCGCAAACAAGCACACACACATTCCTTTGAATCAAATAACTTTATGCTTTTTCAGTCCGTTTCCCGCCCTTTCATTTCACCCATGTTTTTCTCGTAAAGTTTGTGACTTGTCGCATTCATCCTTTCTTTTTTCCCTGTGCTATTCTTTCCTGATCAGTCTCTTTCAAACACACAGACGAGAAAAGAAACGCACACACAGAACTCACACACGTTCCCACAGAAGAACAGCAGCTCAAACTCTGGCAGGAAATCGATGAAGGAAAATATCACATCTCTTGTGTGCGTGGCCATTGCACACCGGACTCCTTTTAAGGAGTTTTTTTTGAAATCTACCAAAACAGTCTATCACATGTTTCCATCCAATGGCTTGCTTTCAAGCCAATTTAAGAAAACTATCTCATTTCGCTGTGGAAATGGTTTCACTCCTTCAGAGAACGCCCCTCTTCTCACTTTCATCATCTTTTCATCAGTGCTCTGCATATCCGCTGTCATCTAATCTGGTGTTTCTCTGTCGCTGGTGAGCAGGGGCAATTATCGGGAGCCCACGTTTAACGCTTGAACAAAATGTCAGCCAGTTCAAAGCAGCCTGTCAGTCAGCTTTCTGTACAAAATCACCGCTGGAGCTCCTGAGGCTTTTCATTGCATATATCGCAAACTGAGGGGCTTAGAGACAAAGGCAGAGTAAAAGTGCCCTACTTTTTTTTTAGATTACCCACCCAATTTTGCTTCTTTTCAGGGCCACAAAGTATGTATGAGCAAGTGCGATGACATTCCTGCTATAGTGTATATGATTCTTTACTGTGATCGATGCTGAATGAAACATTCAGCATCGATCATTACAGTTCATTACAGAAAGATAAACTTTGTTTCTTTTCTTGGAATTGTCATTTGAGTGAAAACTGTGCAACGGCAGTTGCTATAGTAACGGATAAGTATTAGAGGGAGACATTTGTGACCAATCGAGTAACAGGGATGAACCTACTTGCTGTTCGATTAAGCAATTAGGCAATGCTTAGATCATTATTCAAGCAAAGGTGTTGGACAAAACACTATAAATCAAGCAGAGTTTTTTTACTCAAACTGTGGTACAGACATTTATATGCTACATAAATTTAACAGCTGAAAATTATTATTTTTATACTGACCAATAAACACCAGTCTGAGGCGTGAAATGCAGTGAGAAGAAAGAACAGCATTACCAAAGACATGCATACTCTATAGCGTAACTTAGGACAGAGACTTTTTACCATCCAGTTTATGACAAAAGAAGTAGCTTTACTTCTTTCTTAGCCATAAAATAAACTAAACAAAGAAAACAGAAATTAAAAATGCCATTTGGCCCTGAATATTGAAGTACATATTCATATTGAACGCCATGATTTGAGCAATGATGTCACAGAATTTGATCGTACCACCCCACTTGGTTCTACCACCCTCCACACTGCAGCTTATACTGCACGTGCTGCTGGATGACCAAAGTACGGAGCTGTGCACAGCATGTGTGACTCCATTCTCCAATAGCACCAGCTACTTTTCGCTGCAATCTCTGTGGCAAGAGAGATGAGGTAACCATAGTAACAGGCTACTTACGATGGGGCCAGGGGGACCCTGAGGCCCTTCTCCTCCCTTTAAGCCACCTGGACCCTGAAAGCAGAGGACAGGAGAGGGTTAGATCTCACTCACTGCAGGCTGCCACTCCATGCTATTCAAAGAGCAGTAATCACAGCTGTCAAATGGGCCTCTGAACATTACTGTGTGGACGTATGCATGTAAGTACATATGCATGCTTGAACTGTGTATGAGCACACACATAATGAGGGCTTGGCTCTAGAAAATCATAGCGTAACTGGCGATTAGGAGAAAAAATTGAATCATAAATAATCAAGTAAGGATGAAACAACTATTTACTAATTTAGTATCTGTTTGTACATTTTAGTTATGGGATGCTTTGATTGAATTGATTACCAAATAGTAGCCAGTTTTGGCTAATTGTGCATATTTTTAATCCTCAATTTTAAAGTATTTTAAAGATTTTCTTTTTAAAAGCTTTAATAAAGCAAATGAATACCCGTGAAAAAACAAAACTTAATGATACCCAGTAAAAGTGGTATGAAACTTCAATCAGAAAGGGCAGTTTCAGCCTGGTGGTAATTTACATTCTGTTAATGATTATTTGGAAGGAGTAACAGTTAGTGAGGAGATCTGCCTGAAATCCATGCTAAAAAAAGGAACTGATTAAATGAATTCATTATAGCACAAAACTTTTACTTAAGTTCAGTTCTCCACCAGAGAAAATGTATCTCTTAGTTAATAATTCGTGATACAGCTTCTTCTGTAGGCATATTTACATTATTAATATAACAGGAATAAGTTCAAGAAGCATCAGAGAAAATGAAAAAGAGAAAAAAAAACGAAGCCCAAGGTGGGCTACAAGTTCAGGTATAGTCCATTTATCTCTGGCATCTTGTCATCTCTTCAAGATCTTGGTCCTTGAATGTCAAATCCTGTGCTGAATCACAGCGCCAGGAGGCTGAGACTGCTTATGGAAAACACAGTTCACCAGAGGCTGTAAAGACTTTCATTATAATAACTAATTTACAAGCTTCAACAGAGCCAGGGGGTGCAGAGGCTGCCAAGCAGGCTCTCCACTTCCACATTTCACCACGGTGCATTAGAAGACTGGAAGGATCTTTCTTTGCTGGACAGACAAAAAGTTATTTATTGGCTCATATATCGTCACTATGCCTTTCTTTAAGACTGAGCGATGTGATGAAGTGTGTATGTGTGTGTGTGTGTGTCTCTCTATGCCCATAAAAAAGAAAAATAAACTGTGTGTGCTCAGAGGCAATATGTATATTTGTATGTGTGTGCGTGTGTGTGGGTGTGTGTCTGTCTACACTTACTCTGCAAAAGGAAAAAGATTTAAACTCTTTTTCTCAAACTGATCTTTCTGAGTTAATTTCAGTCATTTCAAAGAGGTCCTACCAATAACGAATGTTTCAGTCTTAAAAATGATCAACCTATCTCTAATGTACCAGAGGCCTTCAAGCTGGCAATACTTAAACCGTTACTTAAAAAGCTATCGCTTCACCCAGCTGTCTTAGGTAATTATAGACCAATCTCCAACCTTCCTTTTATCTCAAAAAATCTTGAAAAACTAGCTGTGAAGGTTACATATGATCTTTTTATGGCCTCTGACAGTGGACACATCTCAGTGCTTGTCCTGCTAGACCTCAGTGCACCGTTCAGCATTGTTGACCATAACATTTTAGAGCATTAGAGCATCCTGTAGGTATTAAAGGTACTGCACTGCAGTGGTTTGACTCATATCTATCTAATAGGCTCCAATTTATTCATATAAATGGAGAGTCGTCTTTACACGCTGAGGTTAATTTTGGAGTTCCACAGGGTTATGTTCTAGAACCAATTGTGTTTACATTATACATGCTTCTCTTAGGCATCAGAAGGTATAGCATAATTTTTCCCTACTATGCAGATGACACACAACTGGGCAGAAACGCATATTTCTCCTATACTGGCTTCCCTTAATTGGCTCCCTATTAAATCCAGAATCAAATTTAAAATCCTGCCCCTCAAATACAAGGTTTTGAATAATCAGGCCCCATTTTATCTTAATGACTTTATAGTACCGCATCACCCCATTAGAGCACTACACTTTCAGACTGCAGTCTTACTTGGGGTTCCTAGAGTATTTAAAAGTATAATGGGAGGCAAAGCTTTCAGCTTTCAGGCCCCTCTTCTGTGGAACCAGCTTCCAGTTAGGATTCAAGAGACAAACACTCTCTCTACTTTTAATATTAGGCTTAAAACTTTCCTTTTTGATAAATCATATAGTTAGCGTTGGATCAGGTAACCCTGAATCCTTCCTTAGTTGTGCTTCAATAGGTGTAGGCTGCTGGGGGATTCCCATAATGCACTGGGTGTTTCTTCTTCAGTCACCTTTTTGACTCACTATGCATTTATACACCTCTCTGCATTTAATTATTAGTTATTAGTCATCTCTGGCTCTCTTCCACAGCATGCCTTTCTCCTGTCTTCCTTCCCTCACTTCCAACCAGTCGCGGATGATGCCGCCCCTCCCTGAGCCTGGTTCTTCCGGAGGTTTCTTCCCACTGATGCTTGCTAATAGGGGGTCATATGATTGTTGGGTTTTTCTCTGTATGTATTATTGTAGGCTTTACCTTACAATATAAAGTGCCTTGAGGCAACTGTTGATGTGGTTTAACACTTTATAAAAAAAACTGAACTGAATTGAAGATTTATGCTTTTATTTTCACTAATACAAGAAGTGCACATATCTATGTGTGTCTGTTTCTGTGTGTGGATGAAATCCCTTTGACAGAGTGGGAGGATGTGTGAGTTTTTTTCACACAGTATATGTGTACTCCCGTTATAAAAGCAAAGCCATTCCTTAGCACACATGGGACAAACATAATGGCTGCAATAAGTCTGAGCAGTGCTGTCATGTGCTCTCTTAATGGTCAGCCTTGAAATGAGCTTCAACCACAGTTCCCCAAGTTGATCCTCAGTCAGCATCCCCTCTGACCTTGAACTTTTTCTCACTCACACCCACTCTTATTGAGAATTAATTCAGGTTATGCAGAAGGCTAGAGTGCATGAGATGCAGTCAGTAAGTTGTGGGTTTGAATCAGAATCAAAGGGATCTGACTCATTTTTTGATAGAAAACTAAACACAAATTCCTTATAGGCTCCACTAGTGCAATTCTAAATGAGGAAATTCATGCCTATGACATGCAGCATAGTGCTCATTAGAGGGACATTCTTTATGTCATAGCCACATTGGGAAAAAAACAAAATATGTTTTTAAAATTGCTGACACCAGTAATGATAAAATATATCAATCTGTGTATTACTGAATCCTCTCAGTTCTATGAAAGCCCATTCTGTAACGTTCAGTCAGGTCCACTGCCAAGTGTGACATTTGGTTTAACAGCAGGTTGTTAGCCTGGTAATTGGAGTTTGGAGCTAAATTCAGCTGGGTGGATGCTCAGGATGTGGGATGGCACAGTTTCATGTGGACATGTTAAGTATGTTTGCGTTAATGTATTAATCTGTGGGAGGTCTCTGTGTTACCATGGCCCCTGGAAGACCTCTTGCACCTTGGAAACCTCTCAGGCCAGCAGGACCTGGCTTGCCGCTAGGACCCTGAAGACCTGGATCACCCTACAGAGGGAAAGAGAATAAGTCAGTTAACTGACACTGGGTAATCATGAAAGGCAGAGTTCCTTTATGTGAAAACAAAGAAGAGCTCAATCTGTGAGAATGAGAGAAAAAAAAGATTGATCTCGTGATAACAGCTAAAATTATACGTAATTATGCGGGAACAATAGCAAGTGATTAAAATGTAATGGCAAAAAAAGAAAATGTAGGCCAGTAAACATAGAGCTATCCAAAGAATAATTAAGATGAGCACAGACTGGATATTGAACCCCCCCCCCACCCAATATATATATATATATATCAATATATATACCAATATATGTCAGTTACAAAGCTGTTAAACTGGGAGCTCCTGCTCACTAGCAAAAATAAAAGCAATAATTTAACAAACATTTTTCAATAGTTTTATAGACATTTTGTAACAAAAGAAATAGAAAGGCTGAAAAAAGCATGTTAAGAACAAAAATGAATTCTGTAAGTTGCTAAAAGAACAATAATTTTAAAACAGACAGATGCACTGTTTAACAAGGCTTTCTGTATAATCAAAGAAGTTTTGACCTACATTTATCTGAATTTGAATGCATGGTCATTTACCTTTCCACCCTCTTTTCCAGCAGCTCCAGGTAGACCTTGTTCACCAGGTGGACCAGGAGAGCCAGGGTGTCCTCGCTCTCCACTAGGTCCTGTCTCTCCAGTTGGTCCCTTTCAAGAACAAACACGACACATTAAGGTTAATCAACTATAAAATGTATGTAAAATATAATTCCTATAATTCCGGGGTCTTCATAGTAAATCCAAATTGATGATCAGCGACACTGATTATTTGAAAACCATCTAATGCATTCTAATTACTATTTTTAGGATAAGCTATTATTACTGATATATACCTAGATTTCTGTACTCCATAACTCCTAAACTAGAGACACAGAACATATGTGCACAACAGAGGAGGTAATGGTGACATTCGCTGAATATCTACCTGTGGTCCAACCACTCCTCCAGGCCCCGGAGGTCCAGTCTTCCCTTGGAAGCCCTGAGGAAGATGTCAGAGATATCAAAGATATTACTGGACAAATTTTGATATTTGATTTACTGACATCTTTGTGTTGTACAATAGGTAAACATTAGGTCATAAAGAAAGTCCGTTTTAACTACACTACACTGTAATGTATCGTTAAGCTGACAAAATATTTCTCACACCCTAAATCTGGCACCTGCAGGTATAAGCAAGTTAAATCTGAACTTTTTCAAACCTTTTTAATACCACTGTAAAAGTGCTTGCATAGTAATACTTAACCTCCTGAGACCCAAACTCTTCCACGGCATGCATTTTTAATTTCTCTTTGATATTTGGGCATATTGGGGCCCAATGAATGTAAAAACAAAGAATTACCAGATTTTTTTTTTTTTTTACCTTATTTTTGTTTTTATGAAAAATAAGAGCCACATATGAGGATATTTGTTTAAAAGTTTGATAGAATAGTAGCAGTATAATGTCCTCGTAAATGAATATCAGGCCCTTGTAGAGCAAAATTTAGTATTTTGGTCTAAATAACCAAAAATGTGATGTCCACATATGTGGAAGCCAGGTCCTAGGAGGTTTAAGTACTATTCAGTGAAGTCCAATACTAGAATAATTCCTTTACCACTATTTTAAGGCTCAAAAAACACACACACACATAGACAGCCGCTTTTTCAGTATGAAGTGCCTGTAAAACCTGTGCAGTAAACAAGATCCAAGTTTGGTTGTTCTTTCTTCAGAAGCAGAAGAAGTCCTTATGCATACAAAATGTAATGCTTAAAAATATCAGAGGTGCTGACTCTCATAATACAGCAAATTATGGAGATGTAAACACAAAACCAATTAGACAATATAGACTGTATACCACTAAAGAAGAAAGAACAGATAATGAGTGGACTTCAGCATTACAGATGACGCACTTAATCAGCTTGTTGTCATGCCTATATCCTATTTCTGCTACTCCTAGCGATGTTACTTGTTTACCTTTTGTAAAAAAAACATTAAAAAAAAGTATTCATTAAAAGTTAAAAAAAACAAAAAAACAATCTTTACTTCAACATCATTGAAATACACTAACTGTAGCTATTTGAGAGGCTGAAAGACGCAATACGTGACTTCACAACATCACAACACAAGGTGTTAATGTACAAAACGACCCACTAACCGTTTCTCCCCGCTGTCCAGGATGACCGGGTAGCCCGTCTTTCCCTGGTGGGCCCTGGAGGTGAACAGGTGGATAGTTCATAAGGATCAAGATATCAGGTGTGTATTAATATTTGAAAAGCTTGCATGAAAAGCATCAACATGGTTGTGGATGGTGCCAGCTCACTGACAGTTTGACAGCAGCTACTTACATTAGGTCCTTTGGGTCCAGGGAAACCGACAGGTCCCTGTGGTCCTTGAGGTCCCTGAAATGAAAAGAAAATAAATCAAGCAGTCAGAATAGCGAATGACAACCACAACATGTAAATGGAATATAATTAGATTCACACTGAGAAACCTAGCTGTTTCACTGTTGTAGTTAAGAAATAAATAGCACTGCCTCGTTCATTATACATTTGCTGGTTTTTTGTGACACAAATTAGGTTACACAAACAAGTATAAGGTTGCTCATTTAAAATTAACTAGCCGAAGGATTTAAAATCTACGTGCTTCACTGAAATTACAAAAAAGCTACAATTCACTCTGAGTTCAAGTTTAAGTTCAATCCACCTGATATACTTTTGGTGTCACAGAGTCTGTGTGCAAAACAAGAGTGGCTGGTCAAACAAAATCCAATACTAACCCGCTCCCCTGGCAGGCCGGGAGGTCCATCATTGCCTGATTGCTAGCGTGCAGCCAAGCCGGGTACAGATGAGCCTTGTGAACTTCATCAACACAGGCAGTGTAAAATATAAATCAAATTCATGCAAATCATTGATACTGAGGTTACACATCAAGTCAAGGTGTGCATGCATGCACATTTATTTCCCTGCATAATTTACCAAAGGGGAACTATGTTTTATAATATCGATACACTATAATTTTATATTTAGGTAGCTCTATATTTATGTAAGACTTTCAACAGACACACAGATACAGTACTATGTATAATAACTTATGTATAATACGTGAGCACAGTAACATGTATTTCACATAGCAGCTGTACCAAACTACTGATTTTAATCATGCTCCATACAAAAACATAAACATAAAGAGATATTTTATATGAGTCAAACTGCCATTAAAAACCTGAAATGGGCACTTACCTTAGCACCCGGCTTTCCTGTTGGTCCTCTAGCACCACGGCCACCGCGTGGACCCTAAATTCATTAAATATATTTACAGATAATAAGTTCAGTTTTAGAAAGCGTAAAACAATAAGAAGCAAATCCTAAGAATAATTTTATTTAAGGGCAATTGCCATCCCTGCCCCTCTCTAAAATTCTCTACCTACTGCATATCTTTTTCAGAAAACAAAAAACACATAAACCTTCTAAAGGATGAGATTTTCATTTAAACACAATACATCATTTATGTGGAGAGCTCGGGCTGAGCTGGCAGACAGATGAATTGCCTACCGTTGGGCCACGTTGCCCTCTAGGGCCAGATTTGCCAGCAATTCCCTGAAAACAGAAAAACAAAGGTTTTGATTTAGGACAAAAATCACGCATCACCTAATTTAATACTTCTTTATATCCTTTTTGGGAAGTTTTAGCTGAGCCATCATCAGACAGAAGCAACTGTTCCGGGAGTTTGAGTCAGGGAAACAGCACTTTAGGACAAAAATAAATAAACAAATTGATGATGTAAGTGGTTACCCATAGGCACTCGACAGTTTAAACTAGCTGTCGGTTCTAGCATGCTGGGGCTGAGCATGTCTGCTTCTCAATGTCTGTACGAGCGCAGTTTGTCTTGTCAATAATAACCAGCTTCATTCTAAAACCCTCACTCTCATCCCTTTGGCTCAAACACTCACTAGTTTCATTCACACAGCTGAATATAGTTGTCAATCCTCCATGAAGACCTGCAGTACATCTTTACAGCAGCCTTCTGGGTACGGCCTTTGTAGCGCGACAGAGTTAGTGTTGAAAGCCTGCACTGAGCCTTGACCTCAAACACATTCCAACAGCTTTGTTATAAAATAGGATGACAGTCCTCACTGATCCTGTGACTAAAAGAAAGTAAATTGCTATAAGGGACAAAATCAGACCCTTTGGTAGGCTAGGTTCAGTTATTGTGCAAATGTACTGTCTCTTACAGCAGCAGATTGATTGTTTTGGAAGCCGATGGTCACGTACATATTTTTGTACAAATTTCAGAGTTAATTTGAATGTATGCAATCACAGTATACTGTTTGGAACCAAGTTGAGATTTTTTTAACACACACAGTAGAGTAGGCAGATCTAGTTATTTGTTTTCAACCAGATCCAAGCTTGCAGTGTCAAAGTTTAATCGTATGTGTCTCCTTTTAAGATGTAAGATGCCCCTTGATCACTAGGAAAGCCGAGTGACTCTGTATGCATGTATTTAATTTTTTTTTCTCACCCTTGTTCCTTTCTCGCCGTTTGCCCCAGGGAATCCTGGAAAGCCATTGGAGCCCTACAGGGCAAGTAGAGAAAAAAAGTCAGAGAGAGGGACTGAGTGAGCAAAAGGAGAAATACATTCACATATTCGAGAGCATAAAATAACACTCTGCCCTGTAACAATGTCAGTGAGACTATAGAAGAAGTAGCAGCAGTCTTTTTGCACTTTACTGAACAGGGCTAATTAATAAACTGTACAGTCCTTCCACATAAAAGACTAACTTGCCAGCCGATTCATATCAATGGGTGTGCAGTTTATAGTTTGTCATCCCCTTAGAAAAATGAACACCTTCTTTTTAAGGCATCAAAAGAACCCGGTCACTTTGACACTTTCTGACACACAGACAGACAGAAAAAGGTGTTGCTAGGTTGTTAGCAAAGTGTCTAGTGAGGAGGAAGATAAAACTGGCAGTGTGAGTAAATAAAGACAAAGAAAACGGAAACGGTGGATTCCCTTTGTTACCCATCAGCAATTTAGTTAGTGGACTTTTGCAGGCTGTGCTGTCTGATAATGAGAATGGTGCCAGTCAAACAAATACTAGGAGGGTAATCACTGTTGGATGAATTAACACGAGTACCAAGCAGCTTACCGATATAGCTTCCCTTCATGCAGAATTAGGCAGCATAATTATATGTTCAACCAATTTAAGTTAAACATTTCTCTGACCCAGCTGTGCTCCAAGGTCACGGGTATATATGGGTGTGTTGAGTTTAAAACGCTCTCTCTGATGCACAATATGATGCACTATGCGGTATCCATAGTGCTCATTATTGCACACATGCATATGTATACAAGGAATAATTCTGTGCAGTATAGGCAAGGGCGCCACAACAGGGCAGCGTGGGCAGAAACGCAAGAAGTAAACAGCTCAACATTGTGGAGACAGCAGGAAAGGGACATCTATGCTGCTTAATTTGTTTTTCACAGAGGTGCAGTTATGGTAAACTGAAAGGAGAGCTGGTACTGGACAAGCACGACTTGCACCATGGAGATAAGACTACTGAAGCTCTTGCAAATGGCATCCAGAATTAACAGTGTGGGAAAGCTGTTAACAGAGAGTGATGGGGTGCAGCAGCCAAAAACACAGCCATTGGAGGGATTCATGCACAGGCTGATTGAGGGGGATAAAGGCTGTTAATGGGCCAAGACTTTGACCCTGAACATACTCCTGAGGACAATTTGACATTTTATAACACTGTTGATACTTTGCAATGGAAACATGGGACGAGCAGGTTCTGTCTCATACAGCACATGATCTATTTTGGGAACAGAATTTACTTTTTGGGAACTATGGAAGTCCAAAAAGGATTGTTGGGTTCCAGACAAATATATATTAAAAAAATATGAAAGAATATTTAGTCTATGTATTTGAAAAGTCAGGATGTCTTTATTATCCTTTGAGGACTATATTTGTTGGTTTTGCTATGATTACTAGCACTAAATAACCTTTACTGTACTCTGTCTATTACACAATTGTAAAATGTCAAACCTTGAAAAGCTCCATTCTAGTTAGCATAGGCAGTAAATGATTTAAAAAAGTAAATACAAATTACTGAAATATACAGTTTAGAAATGTAACCATGTCAAATGTATTTTGTAGCTTACTCAATTTCAGGAATATCCACAGCTCACATTTTGCTGACATTAACAGAGCAGTTCCTAAACGGATGCTCTAAGACAAGTTGTATCTGACCCATCGTATCAGTGCGAGGGTGTCAGTGCTGACAGCAGCAGAGAGGAACCAGCTGCAGCAGCACATTGTGATAGTGATGCTGTGGCACAATGGTCAGCTGTTGGAGTATTCCTGGATCTTAAGGAGGGAGGACAGCTGATGACTACAGCAGGTGACCGTGCCAGTTACGGCTTCTAAAAGAGGCCTGGAGAGTGTACAGTAGGTGTCTGCTTGGATTTGTGTTTATGAATGTGTGAGTCATCAGGTTTTTGAAAGGCACGTGGTAAGAGGTTTAGATATGGGTCAGTGCTGACCAGCCAACGAAATGTTGTGAAGACATAGAGAAAATCAATATAGATTTCTGTACATTCATATATGTAAACACATGGAGTCTGTGCACAGATACACAAATACAAACAGCTTGATACTGAAGCAGAATAGTGAGTAAACACAGTGACAGTCATGCTGTGTTGTCAACCATCTACACTGCCCTTGACCAAGACACTGAACACCTACAGCTGGAAATTATCTTCTGTATTGGATAAAAAGGGAAAATCTATGTCACACACCTTTGGCCCTTGTCTTCCAGGGTAACCAGGCAATCCAGGAACTCCAAGTTTTCCCTAAAAAAAAGAAGAAAAAACAACATAAAGGGAATCAATTGACATTTACAAACACTGGCAGTCAGACCTGTAAACTTGATTGAAATTCACAGAAGCATTGTAAAGTATAAAATTTTATTTCTGGCATGTGAAGGTTTTCCATCCCACATTTATGAAACTGACATCATCCATGCAGAGGCTTTTCTGCTAATTGTGAATTCACTTTGGTCCAATTTGGCCGTCTCGGATGGCGTATGGTCATTAAGAATTACACCGAATCTGATGCAACTATCCCACATGCTTTTAAAATAAGATCAAACCTTGTATGTGTACACTAATTTGAGTATGAATCCAATATATCTGATTTTGATGCTGGTAATATGTACTAATCTTGAGCAATTTAGGAAGAAGATGCCAGTTAAAATGAAATGTGTTGTTATGCAGAACCAAAAGGAGCACTAATAGGATAATTAATAAAAAGATTTTTTGCACCTAATCAAATTAAACTTCCAAATTTAAAATAAATGACTGAAATATCTTTAAGATAACTTTATAATATTTACAGATAAGCTCTTGAAGTTTATTACTTTATTTTTCATTAGAATATGGCTTGAATAAAAGAGTGATGACTGCCCACCTACTTTAGGATACACAACTGTGATGTAAATCTTGTTATAGTTATAGTCTAGTTATAGTGTTATTTACTTGTTATGTCAATAACAGTGTGTTAGACTAAAGTATGACGTAAGAAAGATGACAGCTCCATGAAGAAAGTTAGCTACACATGGATAGGACTGTTCTAGTGCTGAAGACAGGTGGCTGCAAAGTAATTTTAAAAGTCTGAAGACTGGATAATAAAGTATTTATGTAATATGTGTTATACTGAAAAGTTATAAAATTGCACTCGCGCAACTTTATCTTACACAGTTATAGATGAACTTCAACTTCAGCGCAACAAAAAACATTAAACAGGAATCTGAGATTTTATATTTCAGTTGGTATTGTAGGTATTGGCGCTTTACCTTCTCTCCAGCTGACCCCATAGGGCCAGACTCCCCAGTGGGTCCTGACTTTCCCTTAGGACCCTCAGGGCCATCCTCTCCTCTGAGCCCTAGTACGCCATTTTCACCCTAAAGACAGCCAAAACAAAAGTAAAAAAATGTTTTTTAATTGTCCTGTCAGACTCTGTAACTGCAAACCTCAGCTGTCATTTTGGAGATGATGGTTTACCTTGTCACCTTTGAGTCCCATGTCACCTTTAAATCCTGGAAATCCATCTTCTCCCTAAAGACAAAAGACGCCAAGCACTCATGTTTAAAACTAAGAGTTTAAGAGACAAAATTGGTCAAATATAATATATCATATGACAGCTAAGCTATGTTAGCTATAAGTAGCTAAGATATGTATAGTGGGGAAAAAAAAACACTTAGCTGTATTGTTATTTAAGTGACAAAATCACAGTGACAGTTTACCACAAAAGGCTTTGTGTACTGTGAAAGTTACATATTGAAGAGTGTCAGGGCTCTATAAGAAAGATTTATAGTGACATCTAGTGGTCGTTTAAATGAAGCATTCACACAGGGAGTTTTGAAGTTATTTTGCTGACACCTGGTGGTTCAAGTTGAGAAAGCAGTTTTCAATATTTTGTCGTTTTTATTCTTTGCTCCCGCTACTGATGTCAGTATTCACAGATATCACGATGCATGAAACCACTAAACCAAATACTAATAAATCACAACTAAGTCAAATCGTAACTTTGCATGGGTAAAAAGAGCTATGCCACTGGATTTTATTAAGGCAGAAGCATGAAAGTAGATGATGTTCTAAGAACATGCCATGAATTTTAAAGTGATGGGAAAATGGGATTTAATAATCTGACAATAGACCCTAAAACTTACACAGAGCGAGCAATGGGATAAGTTCAACCAATGCAATCTCAGGAAAGAATGGAAACAGATCCATCTGCACTGAGACCGCTCTACAAAGCGGCCTCATTCTAGTTTAATGTTCCACACTCCATTACAGCTCAGTGGCACGAGGGTTTAACTGCCAGTGTGATGGGCCTTTAAGAGTTTTTCCACTTGCTGGATTCGAAGAAAGCCTCATTTGGGAAGAAATTACTACTCTGATGGGTCCATTTTCAAAAGAATGACATCTGTCAACAAGGGTGGGTAAAAAAGAGGCTGGAGCAGTGTTTACCTTTTCTCCTTTGTCACCTTTAAGGCCTCTAATTCCCTCAGCGCCCTGAAAAAAGTGAAAAAAAAGAAGTTTAGGGAAAATTTTAGAGAAACTTTTCATGGCAGAGTGGTATTGTATGTCTGCAATGGCACATACTTTCACACCGCGAGGCCCAGGGTAGCCGATAGATCCCATAGGACCTGGATGACCCTAACGATTTAAAGAAATAAAACAGGAAAAAATGAGAAATTTCTGTAACTCTGTAGATATTTAGGTTAATAAATAAAAGCTAACAATGCTAATTTGACAGGACAGGAAAGAAAAGACATTTCACAAGCTAAACTGCATATTGCATATAATAGCACAATTTCAATATTAACACTGATAATACCGCGTTATTAACATATTACACTATTATTAATACTAATAAAGAATAGTAATACTGTATCTTTTATTCAGTCTTTTATTCAGTTTTTATAATACTATCTAAAATGAGAGTATTTAGTGTTTAAAATCCATGAAATAATACTGTAAAACTTCTTTACTCACTCAATAAAAACTCTGAGTATGTTAATGCCAGCTTACTGTGGTTTGTAACACAGAACAAAGTGACTAATCACAAGCCACTAAGTGGGTCTGGTATTTTCAGAGGCAATTTACCTGATAGCATCTGAATTGCCTGCCTACATTTAACCTTGAGGCGCACTATGCAAACTAAACTGCATCTGACAAGACTGCCAGACCTCCCCCCCACCCCTTCCTTTGTTGTGCTACTTTTGATACATTTTAGGAACAGCTGTAATGAGACACTTCTCTGTAACACTAAATTAGCACCAACTTGCATCATACTTACAGCTGCTCCTTTCTCGCCTGGAGGACCCTCTTTGCCTGGGTGACCCTACGGAAGGATGTTTAGAGATTTTCAACAGTTGGTCTTTAGGATTTTGTCAAGATGACAGAAAAAATGAAAAAGTAATCAGATGTGTTACTCACAGGGGGGCCATCGGCACCAGCTAGGCCATGCAGACCTTGCTTCCCTTGAGGTCCCTACAAAGAGAAAGGAAACAGATAGAAAGAGAAAAAGATAGAGGGGGAGATACAGACACATAGATAGCTACTTTCAGAAAGGCAAGTAAGGCCTATAGCTCAGCAGTATGTCTGCAAAATCACTTAAGAGGTCCTGACTGAAACATTTGCAGTTGTGGGGGAGGACTAAGAGGGAACTGGCTTTACTTACTTTTTCACCAGGAGGCCCGATTGGACCTTGAGGACCAATAAGACCCTGAAAGGTAATGCAGATCATATTTAAGAAGGCTTAAATGATGTGGGAAAAGAAGTGATTCATTTTGAATAAAAACAAACACCTGATATGTTCATTTGGGGAAACTTAAACCCTATTTTATGGTGTGCTATGCGTCACTTGCTTGGTTGTAACAGATTTGCTTTTTTCCCTTTCATTATTCCAATCATTTTACCTTTTCCAACAAGTTCAGACCTATTCATTCAGCTCTATAAATGCTTTATTATTTTCTGCAGTGATTTTAAAGCCACACTTCTTGGAGACTTCTTGACAATTCAACCAGCAAAGAATAAAATGTTAATAGCAGTTTTTCTTAGAAGCAAGCTGTGTTATTTTTCAAGGGGCCAATGCTTTCGCTGGAAGGCATCAGTTTGACTTTAGCCAGGTATTAACTAAAGAGAAAGAGTTATTTATTCAACCTGTATACCATCAGGACAGGTTCCTACTAATACTTTCCAAGAGAATGACGTCATCCTGTTCAGGCTGCAAGTGTCAGCAGGACTGAAAATCTTACCTGGCAATGGCCATTTAGCCCTGGATAAAATATCGGGAGCACTGTTTTGTATTAAATATGACTCAATAATGGAATATTTTTCACCAACTGGACATTGTAATTAGGTTAAGTTCTGTCAAATGAGTACAACATGTCCAATCTTAACTGGACACAAGAGATGCTCTTTTTTGTGGAAATAACAAAACAGTGTTATTGGAAATCTTTCACTCTTCCTCAGTGTGAGTTTTCTGACAGAATTACAGCAGTTAAAGAAATGAACGTCATATAGGGAGAAGCGAGAGGAAGGAAAAGAAAAAAACACATCTATGGACTTTTGATTGAAAAAGCAGAGGTGCAACTGATCATTTGAGGTCATCGGGTTCCCTGCTGCACAGTGGATATGGCAGAGAGAGGACAGAGCATTAAAAAGAAGGGAGCAAAAGGAGGATGAGAGAGGAAAAAAGGAGACAGTTGGAGAAGCAGTCAGAGAGACTTACTGATCAGTAAAGTTTTAAATAAAGAGACAGATACAGAAAACAAGAAAGCAAAGAAAAAAACTTACATTTGGACCAGGCATACCCTGTTGCCCAGGAGGCCCTCCCTCTCCTTGTGGACCCTGCATTTAAGAAAGAAAACAAAAATGAAGTTGCAAATATCTCCAGTGATCGCAATGAATGCATTTTTTTTCCCAACTGTATGCTTTGTTACGCACGACTATCAATGGAAGAATAACATTACTCCAGGGGAAATTGGATACTTCATATTGAAAACAGTCAAACAACAATCTGATTCACTCAAAGTACGAGACGGAGTGATGAGGTATAAGACTAATCGGAATGGTGATGAGTTGTTCGGCATTTCTGTTGGGATTCAGTATGTCACAACGCAAACACATAAAAAACAAAAGAAGAGACCCATGTGAAATCTACTCCAGCTGTTACAACAAACACAATAAAGAGGCTCTATTCACAGTGTTCCAGGTTCCCTGACAGCGAATTTAAATAGATTCACCCACTGTTCTTATGTTCCTCCGGTAAAAGGTGCTCTAAAGACACCCATATGGTGGAGAATTTTGTGTGTGCCATAATTGTTTAGAAACCCTCCTGGAAGTCCTATCGTAGTGGTAATTTCAGGTTTCTTGTTTTTTGGAATGTTGAGCTCAACACCAACTTTCAAGACGTTAATGAGAAACATATTGAATGCCTATTGTTCTATACTCCTCTTCAGCTGGTTGTTTCTTTGCCTTGCTGACTCAGTGACCACAGACAGTATGTGGGCTTGTTTCACTGTCTTGACCATTGATCTGCAAACCTCACTCACACATCCCACTGAGACCCTACAGGAAGAAATCCATGATGGGACCATTGACATACAGACTTTTCCATTTAAACCCTTGAGTGCACAGAAAGTACGGCAGAAACTCTGAGGAGCATGATTTAAGTATTATTTGATGACTAAAAGGGCCTGATTCCTGTTAGAGTAAACAGGGGTTAAAAGCCAATGACGTGTTATATAGCAGAAAAAGAAAAAAAAACCTCAACAAACTGCTTAGTTGGTTCTGTACATATTAATTGATCTTTAATATGAAGAAAACATTTCTTACCATATTTCCTTTAGGACCAGGTTGCCCATCAAGACCAGGAAGACCCTAAAGAGATCAGTTTTTGATGTTGTTTAAGAAGAAACAGGACACGGTAAACAGTTTGGCTATTAAGTGATGAGGATTTACTATACTTACACGCTGTCCTGCGGGGCCAGAAGACCCTCTGGGGCCAAGCAAACCTCTAGGACCCTGTATTTTAAGACAAATATAAGCTGAAGAAAACTGCATAAACTAATGCATAAACACAAAGTTCTTATACTGATTGTTTATTTGTTTGCTTTTGCATTTCCAGTGTATCTGTGCGGATTAAATGCTTAAATTATGGCATCAATGTTCTACGACTTCCCACACATGTGAAATGCTGACCTCATGTGGTCATCTGTGAAAACTACTGCACAGAATACGCACGAGAGCAATTTCTCATGGCAAAAGCCTAAAATTATACACTTAGAATCAGCGCACTTAGTCTTTCATCTTATTGACAGTGGATGATGAAATTCTGCACAACTGGCCCTTTAAAAAGATGGTGCTATTTTTGGGTATACCAGGGAGCAAACTATTTCTATTGCAACTCTATGCTTCATTTGAAGAGCACTGGGCAGAATATGTCAGTTTCTGGAAAGTAATGACTGAAAAACACATTCATGGTCCTATTTTCTGATCTGTTATGCAAAGCCCTTCTGCCTTGGCAAGGTCGAGAATACAATGGTAATGGTCCTTCCCAGAGAGGAATGTCATTATAGCTGGAGTAAAGAGAGGATTGCAGAGCTATAGGTTTATATCAGTTAAAAAAGAAAAGAAAAGAAGATAGTTGATGAATGAGGCCTGTGGTAGTATGAAAATTGAGCACATGGTTATATTTTCAGCAAATTCTGATGTTTGACATGGTGGTTTAATCTTGATTAAACAGCTAATAAATGCACGTACCATCTCTCCAGCCACACCTCTCTGTCCAACCTGGCCATCTTCACCCTTTTGTCAAAAAAGAAAATAGTAGATTATTAACAGATGTTATGTAATTTTGAAGAAAAATGTCAACATGACTAGCTAGATTTTGAATAAAGTGCTAGAGTCTTACTCTTGGGCCATCTTCTCCTGGGGGTCCTGGAGGACCTGTCGAGCCCTGTTCTCCCTGGGGAAAACAATCACAGAAGAGAGATATCAAAAAACATTAGGATGTTAGGGTCAAGAAAGAATCTCTGTAACTAAGAAAAAAAAAGAAACAATCCTTTAATTAAAAAGGTGTAACACGGGCCAAAAATTGAGAAAACACAGAAAACGCTGTAAAGAAAAAATCAGCAACAAAACTGCCTTTAATCTACAGTAAGCATGGTTACCACAACTGGCATGGACCTATATGGTTTGCACTATTTATATACTGTTAAGGGATTGGCCTTGTAATTACTTAGTATAGGATAAGACATGAAACCCTGTCTAGAAATACCTCTCTGTGATCTTTGTCCTTTCTTTCTGCGCTCTCCATATAGCCCATGTTACACAAACACTAAAATCAGCAGTCTTCATCTACCACCAGGCCGGGTTAAAGTCAGCCCAAGTGGTTTTTGAGTTAACCCCATCTTTCATAACTGGGTCAAACGCCCTAATGAGGTCCACTGGTTCAGAAGTTATGTCTGTCAGCACTGGGGTGCACATGACTTGGATGGAGTGGCCGTTAAATGACAACTCAGCACTGATGTGTTGTTCAAGAGCAATAAGTGTTTGGGCCTAAAGATGACTTTGGGACTCTGGGATTTTTATTTTTGGAGCCAGATATAAGTCTTCTGTGATGTCTGTCCTCTGACTTTATGCATTTAACAAGAGACAGATTTGCTCCTTTGATACTTACTCTATGTCCCTTCTCTCCGGGAAGACCAGGGAGACCATTAAAACCTCGATCGCCCTGAAAAGGCACGGCAAGAATTGGTAAGGCGTATCAATCAGCATGGCAGGTATCACTTTGAAGACACAGCGAACCCCAAACAAATCTTCAAACGTAGCCAGTTTACCTTGCCTCCCGCTTCTCCTGGCATTCCTCGTGCACCGTCAGCTCCATTTCGACCCTGGAGAACATGCAGATATCACGTAAAGTTCTACAGAAATCTTATTTGAAAAATATTCAGTTACTGCAGATATTTGCTGAAAATAAACAAAGCGATGATGCTTTAAATTTTTTAACTACTTCATGCTTAAATAAACACAACTTTGAGTTTAAACAGACAATTATTGGGTGCAGCTGAATTATTTGAAATGGAGCCATGCCTGAAACGAAACAGACTTTTCTCTCTGGAAACTGTATGTGCTGTTCATATTTTATTAAATATGAGGAATTTAAATAATAAATATTCTTCTATTATAATGCAAAATTGTTCTGGAGAAGATTAACCATTAAAAACTTGACAGTATAGAGACCTAAGACCTTAGGGAAAGTACTCTTACCCTTTTTCCTGATTTTCCTGGTGGACCAGTTGAACCTTGTAGACCTCTGGGTCCCTATGGAAAAGACATATAAATATTTCAATCAAGCAATAACAAAATTAAAGAAAAGATAATATAACAAAGCATTTTCATCCTACCTGTGGCCCAGTATCACCACTGTCACCTTTAAGTCCAGGAGCACCAGGTCCACCCTATTTAGAATGAAAAATAAAAAAATACAGATCCAAAAACACACACCAAGATTGTTTTAGTGAATGAACACATCTTCAGTGATGCCAGACATTTTGTCATTTCATTATTTCACTGGGAAATCAGAATAATCCCGGTTGGAATGGAAACTAATGTGGATGTAAACACACAAAATGTAACATCTGGATGACAGCACTGGTCGTATCCAAGACACAACCAAGACATAAAAAAAATCACAAGCAAGTCATTTGCAATGATTTAAAATGGATAAAGATCGATGAAATTAAATCAAAACTGGTGGCAGTGTGTGGACATGAGTGAGTGGATACATTATCGGCGAGTGTGGAAGGAAGCAATAAAGGATTTAAGGAGAATGGTAGACAATAAGAAGTTCAAATTATTGATTGTATTTCTCAAGCTTAAAATGTGCAAATGTGTGTTAAACAGAACTTACCACAGGCCCAGATCTTCCTGCCATGCCCACTGGCCCTGGAGGACCTCTCATTGTCAGCTGTGGATCAGACAGAAGCAACCTATAAACAGCTTGTCACCAACTGCAGAGGCATTCTTGCATCCACATCTGTCTCTTCATCTATCTAGAAGAGCTTGAAGTGCTTTGTTTCAAATATTTATATTGAATCGGCTTTGCGTGCAAAAAAATACCTGTACTAAAGCGTGAATTTATCTTGGCACCATAACAGTTCTGCAACTATTAAAGAAAATGTTAATAAGAACTCTTTGTTTTAGCCTCTGTCGGACATGGAACCTTACAGAGTGCAAACTTTACTTTGTTCTTGTTCATGGTTTGCCACTCGGCTCATGGTTGACCACGGCATTGTACTGCCAAAAATAATGTCTGGAGTTTATTTCCAGTGTGACTACTGAATGAAATAAATTGCTAATTTAAAGAATGCTAGTTATACTAGTATGCTATACCAAGACTGAATCATCGAAATTTGTTAAGTTGTGTATATTCAGGAAAACAACTAAATACAGAAGCACTGAAGAGCACTTCACGTTTAACCATCTCAAGGCAGACGTTGCCGATTTGCAACAGTTAAAAACTAACAACCTGATTACCCCACATACATATTTTATGAGTTTTGTTTTTACTCAGAAGTACCACTGCAAGACTTTGTTGCGCATTAGCAACAAAAAAGTTAATTTGAGCCTGAGAGGGTTAAGAATCGGCCCTGAATAATTAAAATTTGTGAAAATAATTCACGCTCAGAACATTCTGGGCCTTTTTGTTTATTTCCTCCATCAGACCAAACCTTTGGCATAATAGACAGATATAGAAAGGTGAGAAGTGCTTTCTAGACATTACTAAACTCCAGTGTGGGTAGCTCTCCAACTCCACAGAATGTGTTAATATATAGTATTTGTGTAATATTTAATGAACTCCATGTGTTCGACCTGTTTTTCAACAGTGTTATGGTTGTCTGGATCCCTGAGTGGGTGTGAACATCTGTGCTGGATTTGTATACTACCAAACATGACACAGGTCCATATCTTGGAGTTCAGGATTTCTGAATAATGATTCCTTCTGGTATTTTTTACTATAATTTCTGTTATTTAATGGTCATTTTCAGGTTAGTGATTTCATATTAGGGATTCTACTAGAATAGGTCTAAAGGCTTAAAATCAGATGAGATCAGGTTAAGCCTGACCCAAACTCCCAACGCTCCAAACTACATCTGCCTAATGTCAAAGCTCATCCCCATAAACAGATACATAACTATAAAAATATGATGGTCTACATGACGTTACTGTATCAGTTCTATGTAACCTACTTCTGTCATCCTTGAAAACATACAGTTTGCCACAGCAGTCAGTGCCCTTCCAGTTGACCCATACATACACCTATAAGCTACTTCGTTCACAATATCAATCAATCAAGGTGTGATTGGAGTGCAGACTTTCACATTTAACAAAATTATTGGACTAACTGTTTAGCTATTCCAGCCATTTTTATACATAGTGCCCTATTTTCAGATGCTTAAAAATAACTAAACATAATAAAATGATTATAAATACAAGGACTGTTTTTAATTGTTGAATTAAAGTTCCTTCATTCAAGTCCAAAGTCTAGAATCATTGAAGCAAGTCAGTAAAGTCTAGATGGCATGGAGATCACTAAATACTTCACCCTTGAGATACTCTGCAACTCTGCTAGGTCTTCACTGCAGCTGCTCCTTGTTTATGGGTCTTTCTGCCTCCAATTCTCTTTTTAGTAACTACGAATGATGCTCTATTGTGCTGAGATCAGGTGACTGACTTAGTAAATGAAGAATTTTTCATTTCTTTGCTTAGAGAAACTCTTGGACTGCTTTTGCAGGATACTTTGGGTCATATTTGGTCTGTGCAGAGGCTTTAGCCCTGTACATTTCAGTATTCATCTTACTACTTCTATCAGCAGTGACATCATCAAAAATCACTACTAGCCAAGAAGCAGTGGCAGCCGCGGCAAAGTTTGCTATAACTTTGTCTCCATTATGTTGGTTAGATGGTGCAGTATGTCACAGATCATAAGCTTTTCCTTTCCTTCTAAATATTTTTTTCAAGTTAATTTTAGTAACTCTGGGCTTATATTTACCAATGATACTCACCCTAGCCTGAGACAGAATGGCTTGAGCCTGAGCTTCCTGGGCTGTAATCACAGGTCCTTTGTGTGCTTCACCACCTGCGCGGAACTGTTAGCCACAAAAGGAAGAAAGCGACATGATTAAAAACAAACTGACTTATGTTGTTTTTACAGTGTGACACGTCCAATGGTCATCCCCGGTGAGTGTGTTCAAATCTGCACTGTGTTCTGGTAAACCTTCTTACACACACCACAGTCAAATATCTGTCGCCTAGCCTTTATGGCCTCAGTCACTGGTTCTACTCCATTGCACTGGCTGACATTTACAAGGTAGGTGATTTGTAACCCAAAGAAAATAAGGCTGCAATCCTTTGGCCTACTGGTGATGCAATGAGGTAAACTTACTAAATGGAGCAAGTTCACAGGCTAGTGCCTGAGATGAAAGGAGTGCAATATGACCAGCTCTGAAAGCAGGAAGACTTACTGGAAGCATCAGAATTGTCCCTGGAGGCCCAGGAACACCATCTGAACCAGGAATACCAGGACGCCCAGGAGAGCCCTGGAGAACCACACGAGAGGGGTGAAATCAACAATCAAGCTAAAGTAACAGAATACAATTAACTGCAAAACTGTAATTCAAAAGATTTTAATATATACGAGTCTAGTTACCTAACACCCCTCAAATTATTGAATTCAAATCAGCCAGTGCTTCAGTTAACTTGTAAGCAAGCATGTAACATTGTTATGAATAATTAATATGTGGTTAAGATAAGATATGCAGTACTTTACTTATCCCAAAGTTAATCCCATATCCTGAAGGGGCTGAAGCAAAGTCCAAATAATAATAAGAGAAAACTCCTAATAAATAACATCTGCAATAATTACAAGGCAGAAACTAAAGAAATCTCTGTTCACAGTAAACCCCTGTTTATCTCCAACAATCACTTCAAAGCCAAAGTCTTTTTTCTGTATTGTTGTTCTTTATTCTGAAAACGAAAACTGACTAATCCTAGTAAGATTAATTCAACCACAACTAAAGTATGTATTTATTATTGTAACTGACTTTACCAAGACTAAATATCCACAGTCGTGGCCTTGAGAGGAAACAAGGCTCATTAAATTAAAGGGATTTAAAATTTCTTCATTGAATGAAAAATGGAGAGTGTTTTGCTAATCTTAAAGTTCACCCCAAGACAGAAAGAATATTTGTGGCCAACGGGTAGGATCTGAGGAAATACATCATTCGAAAGGGATAGATTCTTTTAATGCCATTGGCCAAACTGACATTGACTGAGTTTGGTCAGCCTTTAGCTCCATCTCTTTCATATCCACATACTGTCTGCTTCAGCTTAGGCACCAACATGCACACTTCATGCAAACTTCAGCAATACGCCTACCTTGCTATATTCAGATGCCATCGACAAACATGGAAAGTTATGGTTTAAGCTTGCAAAATCACTACTATTGTCACTACAAATTTGATTAAGATTTGTCAGCATCTGTGCCAAATTTTTCTGCATCACAAACACAATATGTAAAAATAAAAATATCGGCATAAAAGATAACAGTATGAACAGAAGTGTCAATTTTTTACATATTTTTGATGAAAGAAAAACAAAAACAAAGAAATAATCTAAAATAAGATCAAGCCTAAATAGTATCTCCTGCTTCTCAGGAAACCAGCATCGACTTTGCAGTCTAGTCATGCACGACAATCTCAGACTACTTAAATTGATGCCATGTGTTCCCCGTGCTCTGATCTGCATTTTCTCAGTTCTTGTGAATATGCTCCATCCATTACCGTTATTGTAAGCATAGTGGCCTCTAGTGTTAATGAAAGTCCTATATGGCTGGGAAAATGTTTCGGTGGAAAGCAGGGAGGTGGTGATCATGAAAAAAATGAGCACATCAAACGCTGAGTGCAGGCAGATCCTACGCAACGGAAAAACCACCAGACTTAAGAAACAAGTCACTTTTAATGCTCCTGTCAATCTTAAGCAAGACCGTTTCTCATGGGGTTGTTAAGGGAGGGGGACAGGACTTCTGGACTAACAAAATATTTTTGATCACTGTTAGTCAATGGAACAAAAGGCCTTTTTGTACTGGCCATACTGCCAGAGGCGTGTTGGTGTATTTTTATGTTGACAATTATATGGTTAATCTCTAGTGAGAGAGTAGATGTGCTAAAAGGCAGATGAAAGGGGGGCTGCAGAGCAATCATCACATTTGGAAAAATGCAAGCTGAGCTCCAGCTTTCTGGAGGGGACAGACACTTATTATGTTGCAACCAATCAATCAAATAAATGAGTTGAATCCCACATGGCTGAGAAAAGAAATGTTTGGGGACAATTTATGCTTCTACATATTTTACAGCCAATTCCTTGCATTTCTCACCAATCCTTAAGCATACCGGGCCTACTTCTCAGAACCTTTCTTTGTTGCTATATTGACAGTTTATGGGCATCTCATTTCCCTGCACCACTCCTCACTAATCCCTCCTACTGCCGCAGTAGCAAGCTGTGTCCAATTGTATTATTCATTCCATGGCACTGAAACTATGCTCCACAGCTTTTCAGTAGAGAAGAACAGAGAAGGATAACAAACACAGGGACATTTTTTTATTTTACTGGACCCAATTATCTCGCATGAAGAATTAATGGCTATCTAGAGCTTAGGTTACCATATTTTCACAATTTAACATAAATAAAGTAATAAATTTAAATATTTTTATAACGTCTCTGTAAATAACTAGTCAAAGGTGCAGATATGTTATCTTTAATTTAACAACAAGTGTATTTTAAGCCTTTATAACGAGGAGAAAACAAAAGCTTTTTAAATACATCTTTAATTAGTTGTACAATTATTGCAACCTTCACTCACCCTCTGACCAGGGTCTCCTGGTGGACCTGGGGAACCTTGCAATCCTGGGTTACCAGTAACACCCTGAAACCAGACGTGGATACACTTAGCATTTTATCCAAGCTACTGCTAACCAGCATTCCCACCACAGTCAGTCTATCCAACACTTTATATGTATAAGCCAACAAAGACAGAAGCACAGACACTGGTTTGAAAGACATAAGCCTCAAAATGAAACAGCCTCATAACCCCTTCCTCCCCTTGCATTTCACAGACACAGACATACACACATTCATGCACAAGTACACATTCTGACAGTCTCTCCCAGCTCAAGCTTCACTGGCGATCAGGACTGACGCTCTTTCCATAAAGACATTTTTTCCTTCTTTAGCTGTTCTCCATCTGTGGAAGCCAGACAGGAGTGTGGGAGAACGTGATACTCACTGCTGGGCCAGGGGCTCCTGGGGGTCCTTCTACAAGCATCCCCTGAAAAAGGAAAAAGTGGATGCAGTAGCATTATAGGGCATCCTGTAAGTTGTTGCCCACAGGCAATGGAGAGTGAAGCAAAAAAATAAGAGACGTGCTTGTTTGATGTTGAGGATCTTACTCATAGCTAAATGACCAGTGCTCTAGTTATCTGATACTTCTAAATGTGTGTGTGTGTGGTCAAAATACTTGAATGGGAGCCTGTGGTGGTACAAACAGTATGGGAATAGAGATGTTAACTACTGCTGTTATTTTGGGCAGTGTTTAGCCTGTAGTGGCAAACTGTATAGGTTGAGGGACTTCTTTATGTGAAGACTGTGGTTGTATATACAGCCTATATGTAAAATAAAAGTTGAATCTCTCCAGAAGGCAAGCTACCCATGGCTGCCACTGCCCTACGTAAAATCAAACAGCTAAAGTTACTTTGCACTGAAGTAAATTAAGACACAGACAAGAGTAAATCAAGTCTGAAAGATGTTTGTGATCTGATGAAATTCCTCTAAAACAATTTAAAAAATATGCAAAAGAATTTGATTGTGACATATAAATCACTGCGTGCAAGTAACATAGTGAATAGATATGAAAGTAGGCTGAGAATAATTATGAAAATGTGCTACTGAAAAATATGTTGGTTAGAATAACAAAGAAAATATAGTGTACCAGACACAGACCAGAGTAGAGAATTAGAGTATTAGGATCTTTACAATTAAATTATTCTTAGCAATATGTTTGTTTCTTAAATATTTTACTCAGTTAGTATGTACCTATTTATTTAACTTGAACCTTTAATGGAAAGGTTTATTCTCAATAAGAGAAAGATGAGAAAGACTTTTCACTTACGGGCTCTATGACAGCAGGTTCGCCCTTCTCTCCTTTTTCTCCCAGGTACCTTTGACCTCCATGCACCTAAAGATATAGGACATACCAGGTGAATTTCTTTACAAAATAGAAACAAAAGCTTGACTTTTTGTTTCTAAAGACAGACCATCGGTGGTTTAAAGAACAAAAATGCAAATTGTGATATCAATGAACAGCAGATGTCTTGCCTGAAGCCTCCTATACTTAAAATAGTGACAAAATTGCCCATAAAAAGTAAAACTTTACCAAAATGATGACTAGTGTCCTTCATATTTTTTCAAGGCAAAAAAAGGTGTTTTTTTCTACTGGAAAAAAAAAATCAAATGTCATTTTGCAAGAAGCTATAATTTAGGATATGGTCTGACTACTACTTATTAGTTATCCCAAAAGCCAGGAACTGCCCAAAAAGACCCTACTGAGCATGAATGTAGAGGTCGTTAACTGACACTATCCATACAATGACTTAACATGAGAAGAATTCACAAAGAAACAACCACAGTGTTTCCAAAACCCACAAGATTGTACAGTTCAACCTAAAGAGGAAACCAGTACTTAATGAGAAAGTCATAGAGAAAGGCTGAGACTGTGCAGTGGAAAGCACAAACTGAGCAGTTAAGACTGAACCTAAGGAGACAGATCTCAAGCCAAGATCCAGACAGAGCCTGTGTCACTTCCTGATACTGAGAATCCTGAGGCAAAGTAGAGGGCTGGAAACAAGTAACAATAGACACTAGGTCAGCAATTTCTGTCTGGCTTTATAGTTTGATCTAGACGGATTTAATGAAGAAAAGACGTATTTGTAGATTTTCACTGACTACATAGTATGATCCAAAATCAAAATTGGTGTGACAACTAGTGTAAAGCATCTTTGGTAAACATTCAAGGTCACTGAGTTCAAGAGGTCATAGAAGGTCAACATCTGCTTATGTGTAGAAGACAAGGTGTGTGTTTGTGCTCTACTTGTGTATTTGAGTTTTGTCCCTGAGTAGGCAGAACGATCCAAGCTAACATTAGAAACAACAAACACAAAGGGCACTGAGAATACTCCATCAAACAAATGCTATCAACATGTTCTCCATCTTTCCACATTCCTGAACACGACCTCTACCCCCTCCATGCCCGACCCCCATCCCTCTCAGCGTGACTCCTAAGCAGTCCAGCACTTACACTGCTCTCTTTGATATCTGTTTCAGCTGGAGCACCAGGGCCAACGTGTTCCTCAAGTGGTACAGATGTAGGCTTGGCGTTGTAGTCGAATTCATCATAGCTTTCATAATTATATTGCTTCTCTGTAAACTCTTTGTCGCCATATGCATTCAGGTCGTATTCCTTAAACTCATACACGTCGGTCCCTGGATCCACCTTCTCCTGGGTGTCCACTGGGGCAGCAGTTTCCACACCAGTAGTGGGATCCACCCCGACCTGTTCCACACCAGTGATGTAATCATCCACTATTTCCTCTACGTACGCCTGGGATCATTCAAGGCAATGCAAACAGAAGGAACAACAAGGTTTTGTTAGTGAAATGAAACCATGGGACCAATGACAATGATTCATGTGTTTTACAAAGTCAAAACAGTAGTAATAAGCACTCTGTTTGTGCAAAAGTACTATATGGCAACTAATTTTCTAGTTAGTTCCACACACATGTCTAATTTGGTACAGCTAAATGTACAAATCCACATGTGTATTGTTAGTAAGCAATGTTACTGAGATTAACATCTGTAATCACATCAATATACCAATATTTTATATTATATATCATCAATATAGCAATTATTTATTCCTTGCAAAACAGCTGGAGTAATTTCAAACTGATATATGTTTTTTTTAAAAACAATCACTTAAAATAGGCACCATATGATTTAAACTAAAAGCTGAAACATTGTGAAAAAGGGGGGTAATTTAGACAACAACAACAATAATTTAATCCAATAATAATAATGCAAATGCGTATATACAAATATTTTGAAGAACTTTGGTCCAATGAAGAATAACTTAGGACTAGAACAGTAAAAGTAATGTAAGCGCAGAAACTGAAGCACTGCACTGATGTCAGTCACAGTCGCACACAATGGGAAAATATCCAAGCATCTCATAAGCACAGGAGTTTCCACCAATACTCTTTTGTATTTTAGCATTGTCTGTCGACTACACCGCTGTCCTCAGTATTTAGGCATGCATTCCTACAAAATATTTTTTTTTCCCCTCGGATACTCCACTATCCCGTCATTTTAAATTAACCTGGGTCTTGAGCTAATTAAAGCTGCATTGTCTATCTTAAGGTACACACACAGCAATCAGCGATCATTTGGCTGCCAGAGAACAGTATCATATTGTTTTGGTTGAACCGCCAAATGTTCCTCATTATCTTGTGTTTTGTGTGATGGTTTAGCACAAATTAAAACAGGATCTGCCAAATTCAGACTATGGAAGAAATATAGGGGATGTGCCTGTGTAGTGATTTTCCATTGGTTACGGTTCATTAAATGACAAACTTTTCCTGCCTTTGTCTTTATTCAAACTCTGTTTGATGGAGGCTGTTTCTCATGGAAATCAAGTAGTGGAGTAGGCTGTTTGATGTTAATGATGCCGTGTTGGATCGTAACCTCCAAAGATGATCATAAAAATCTGTCTTGTTGCCAGCGATGCCTTACGGTTTTACTAACGTTTCATTTTAAACCCATTTACCAGGAATTGAAACAAAACTGGAATCCAGATGTTAAATTTCAAATCAATGACACACAGATAATTTTCTACATTTAGAGGAAGTTTATCATGCAGGGCTTATTTTAACAAACACTTTCATGGTTATGAAATTGATCTAATTTAATAAAACCAAAATTTAAGATAATACTAAATTTAATATCCTAATGAGATTATCAACCAACCACTAATTATGTACAGTCACAAACAAGTTTACGTAGAAATCTGTGATAGTTCCCAGAAGTTTCTAATAGCTCTTCACCACAATCTATGGTAATCTTTCCAAGGTTCCTCATTAAAACCTTCTGATTGCTCTTAAAAGCAAAAAGTACAGCACAATAAACATTTTGCATAACTAGTATCATATTGTGTGGAATGACCATATTTGACATGTGTGTATCCAGAAATAACTTTCACTGTGCCTGTACCTCCTGATGGTGATCAAACATGGTTATAGAATTAAAGTAATTTTATAAGATATAGACCTCAGGACTTTTTCCCATAGCTTAGTTATCAAACATTATTTTTAAAATCTCAGGATTTTAAAAATAAGCAGTTTTAAAAAGTTACCTCGCCTTGTCCTGCAGTATCAGTGGGATTTTCAGGTTGACTTCCATCCACTACGGTGTAGTCATACTCACCTGTATAATAGTCTCCACCCACATTTGTCTGAAATTGGAGCAAGAACAACACAGGGAAGGTTTGCAATGGGTAAAATACAGTAATTATCGCCAATCTTGATGATGTAGATGTCTTCATCTGCCTCTAGCACATCCTTTCTCAAACAAAGAAACACAAAGAGAGCTAATTTTATAATTATGATTGTAATAGACTCATGGAAATTATTGTTACAGAATTAAGTATATCCAGAATATGTATCATAATGAGCAATAAAAGCAACTAACAACTGCTCCAATAAAAGAAATGTAGCCAAGAAATACGACCAACAGAGACAGAGATGGCAAAAATGAGACGATGAAAAACTAAAAATAAGGGAAAAAAGGAAACCATACATATATGTCGTTCTTCACCCATAATAACTGCTCGTCAAGTTTTACCTGAGTTTTGGCTGCTTCAGTAGGGGAAGGGTCAGTGGTTATCTCTCCCTCACTGTAGTCATAGACATCATAGTTAGTGTACTGTAAAAAAAGAAAAAAGAAAAAAAGGAAAAAGAAGAGGCATCCACAATCAATTAGTTGGTTCAATCATGTAAATAAAGCAGCACGATGTCTTCATTTACATGGCAAGTAAGCATTCATGCTTCTCAAAACTGGTTAAAATCCAAACTTAAACCACACAAAACATTAAATATATTGCTTCTTGCTATTTTAAAAATAGCAATGGCTGGTTGATGTTGGGGGAGATTTTACATCCATATGAGGAAATGAAATCCTTTAGCACATGGATGAATGGAACATTCCTTTATCCATCCCCTTCCTCTGAGAGACCCTCCTGCACATAACCAAGCAAACAACAATTAAAATTCCTGTTTGCTGCTGAGAGGAGGTTAATGGGTTAATGCATTGCCAGTGAAAACATATCTGTTTCTGCTGCTTAATTTGAATGCCAACAATTGCTGGCGGCTTTCATTAGTGGCTCTTTAAAAGACAAAACTCAAGCTGTACAGAATCACCGCAAGACGGTAAATTATGGGAAGCATACAGGATAGAGCAGCAGGGGATAAAACCATTGTTCCTCTATTTTAAAACCTGACTCCTATAAAAAGAAAAACACACACACCCACTGGGGTATTGGAATAGTCCACGTGAAAACAATGCATTTATCTGAACAATGTGTACTCATCAACTTCAGATGGTGATAATGGTGATGTGTGCATTATGTTGCTGTTTATATACATTTTAAACATTAATTCAACTTGCCCTGACTTAAACCTGAGGAAAAATCATAATATACACTCTGCAAATTTATCTTATTCTCCTTAAGATGAGGTAGAGGAGCAGATGAGCACCACTCTTAAAGCTTGTCATTAAATATCAAGCTGCAGCCTGGAGAAAATTGCCTTAGCTTTGGAGAAACACTAAAGGAACAAGGAAACTTTTCATCTTGGCCGACTTAAGACAAATCAATAAATCATATGGTCTAAATTATCTTTAAAATGTATTATGCTCATCATCTTTTGGCTTTAACTTCATATTTACAGTAAAAACAGCAGACTTCTATCTACTTCTAGCTTCTTCTCATCTAACCCTAGACAAAAGAAAGCAGATGTGTATTATATGTTTAAATACTTAAAATCACCATTTAATGGGCATTTATTGTGATACTGCCCATAACCAACAAAGTGTTATGCAAATGAGTCACTGTAGTCCTTTAAAAGAAAAAAAAAAAGAAAACTTTTAGTTGTCCTAACACTGTCAAAACAGAGGCAAGGTAGATTAAGTTACCAGAGCAGCCCCTAATGCTGCACTCTATGCGCAGGAATAAATATTAGTCCCTGGACAACTGCTAAGCTCATAAAAACAATAAAAGAGCCACGGCCTGCTGCAAGGCTGGCCTGGCGTCCGTTCAGCGGCCCAGAGAGGGAGAGGTCACAGAAGAGAGAAGTTCTGGCCAGACTGACTGAAATGACGGAG